TGTGTGTGAGATTGTGTGTGTGTGTGTGTGTGTGTTGTGACCATCTGTCATGTTATAACAGTGTTTTGGACGTGGTTTCATGGTAATGAAGGTTCACATCTTTTGATCAATTAATTTTCATAACTTTTTTAGTCATTGGATCTCATTCGTTAAGTGTGTGTTCACACAAATTTGACAGATATATTATATATATTTTGTTTTGTTTTGTAGTCTGTGAGTGGCACTTTCTAAGAAAAAGTACAAAATAGGGTCTGAAACAATATTTTATTTTATTATTTTATTTTAACCTTCAGAAAATGTTAATTGTCAACCTTTGTAAAGGTTAATAGTCAAGGAGGTCAATAGGACATATTTGCTTGATCATTTAGTTATTTATATTTCTCTTAAATTACAGAAAAACATATTTGTTGATCATGATGTTATATTTATTCCTCATAAAAAAAATAAATAAATAAAACAGGAGGCAATATTTTCTTGATCATTGCCATTTATTTCTTATAAAAAGAAATAAAAAAAACAATGTTTGATAATTTTGAAAAAAAAATTTGCTTGTTCATTTTTATTTATATTTCTCATAAATTACAGAAAAAAATATTTGGTTGATAATTTTGTCACTTATAATTCTCATAAAAAATGCATGATCATTGTTATTTATATTTCTCATAAAATACAGAAAACGTATTTGCTTGATCATTTTGTCACTTATATTTCTCATAAAATAAAATAAAAATTGCTTGATCATTGTAATTTATATTTCTCATAAATTACAGAAAAAAATATTTGGTTGATCATTTTGTCACTTATATTTCTCATAAAATAAAAAAATGCATGATCATTGTTATTTATATTTCTCATAAAAAAATGCATGATCATTGTTATTTATATTTCTCATAAAATAAAAAAATGCATGATCATTGTTATTTATATTTCTCATAAAAAAAAAAAGCATGATCATTGTTATTTATATTTCAAATAAAATACAGAACAATTATTTGCTTGATCATTGTAATTTTTTTTTTTTTTTTCCGAAATCCCAAAAATGTATATTTGCCTGATCATTTTGTCGTTTTTATTTCTCATAAATTACAGAAAACAAATATTTCTCAATCATTTTTTCATTTATATTTCTCAGAAATTACTAAAATGAATCGTTACTATGTCCCATTACAGAAAAAAACTTGTTTGCTTGATAATTTTTATCATATTTTGTCACTTATATTTCTCATAAAATAAAAAAATGCATGATCATTGTTATTTATATTTCTCATAAAAAAATGCATGATCATTGTTATTTATATTTCTCATAAAATAAAAAAATGCATGATCATTGTTATTTATATTTCTCATTAAAAAAAAAGCATGATCATTGTTATTTATATTTCAAATAAAATACAGAACAATTATTTGCTTGATCATTGTAAATTTTTTTTTTTTTTTCCGAAATCCCAAAAATGTATATTTGCCTGATCATTTTGTCGTTTATATTTCTCATAAATTACAGAAAACAAATATTTCTCAATCATTTTGTCATTTATATTTCTCAGAAATTACTAAAATGAATCGTTACTATGTCCCATTACAGAAAAAAACTTGTTTGCTTGATAATTTTTATCATATATATTTCTTATAATTTACAGAAAGAAAAACAATATTTGCTCGATCATTTTATGTGCATTTCTCATAAATGACAGAAAAATAAAACCTGCTTGCTTGATCATTTTGTCATTTATATTTCTCATAAATTACGGGAAGAAATATTTGCTTGATCGTGTGTTGTGACCATCTGTCATGTCATTACCAGTGTTTTGGACGTGGGTCCATATAAAGGTTCGCATCTTTTGACCAATGCTTTTTCATGACTTTTCCTGTCATTGGGTCTCATTCGCTAAGTCTGTGTATGAACTCCTGATCCATCCATCAGAACTGTTTGTGTTTATTGCACTGCACTGATTCTGAAGAGCTCTCTGCATGCTTCTGTCAGTAGCTGTTGTAAGGATGTTAGCAGGTTTTGTGCTTGCTGCGTCTGAATGCTGACGCTGTTTTCCGCGGCAGGCGATGGTGGAGACGGTGAATAACCTGCTGCAGCCGCAGGCGCGGACGGCGTGGATGGAGCTGTCGAGCGGAGATCAGCTGCGCGCCGCCACCATGCTGCTGGACACCGTCGAGCAGGGTGCCTTCGTGCTCGCAGACAACCTGCTGAAGACCGACGTCGTGCAGGAAAACACCGAAAACATCCGTGAGTCTTTCAGTGTATTCAGTGGATGCTGTTCATGCATTCATCATCAGTCGAACACTTGACCTTGCCGTCGCTAGCGTCCAACAACAGCAGATGACATGAAATCATACATCTATCTTCTCATCATCGGTTGGAGTGTGTTCTCTTCCCACAGATAAGAGTCAGAAACAAGGTGCTTAACCTTCAGAAAATATGAATTGTCAGCCAAAGATTATAAGAGCTGCTTTACAATTTGCATTTCTCTTGGGAAAAAAAAAAGCTTGATATTTTTCCCATTTATATTTCTTACAAATTACAAGAGAAAAAAAAAGATTGCTTGATTATTTTGTCATTAAATGCTCATAAAGTATAAAGTACTTTTTTTGTCATTTACATTTCACTGAGATTACAGAAAAAATGGCTTGATATTTTGTCATTCATATTTCTCATGAATTACAGAAAATAAATATTTGCTGGATCATTTTGTCATTTATATATTCCATAAATTACAGAAAAAAAAAAAAAACATGATTAGCTGATTGGCATGTCACCATATTCTAATTTGTTGAGATAGTGAATTGGTGGGTTTTTGTTAAATGTGAGCCAAAATCATCACAATTAAAAGAACCAAAGACTTAAACTACTTCAGTCTGTGTGCAATGAATTTATTTAATACACGAGTTTCACAATTTGAGCTGAATTACTGAAATAAATGAACTTTTCCACGACATTCTAATTTATTGAGATGCACCTGTGTATATATTAAAATCTTGATCATTGTCATTTATACATCTCATAAATTACAGAAAAAAAATGCTTGATTATTTTGTCATTTATATTTCTCATAAATTATGGAAAAAGTATTTGCCTAATCATTTTAGTATATATAAATTTATATTTCAAAAATTGCAAAAAAAAAAAAAAATCTTGATCATTGTCATTTCTACTTATACATTACAGACAAGAATTGCTTGATCATTTTTGTCATTTACATTTTCCATAAATTACAGAAAAAAATACTTTATTTAGTCATTTATATTTCTCATACATTACAAAAAAAACAAATTGCTTGATCATTTTAGCATTTATATTTCTCAAAAATTAGAGAAAAAAATAGCTTGATTATTTTGTTGCTGTCAACCCTTCTAAGAGGTTTGAATGGTTGAGCCTTGAATGCTGTCACCGCTACAGTTTGTGTAAAAACTAAGAATATGAAATGTTTCTTGTCTTCCAAATTATCACTTCCAGGGTGTTACAACAAAATACATGGGATTTGTTCCTCTGATGCGTAAAAAAAAAAGGTATAAGTGACACCAGAGCGTGCCTTATCCATGGAAAGCGTCAGACCTTGTGTTTTTGATTCTGATCGTGTTGCCAGAAGTCGGCAAATCCCGGCTATCAGCGGCGTCCATGAACCCGAGCGGCCCTGAATCCCACCGATAAACCTGCTTTCATCACAGATAACCTCATATCAGCGCCGCATTTGACTCCTTTATGATTGTGAATCGTGTTATTTCATTCACTGGAAGGCGTAATTAAGCGTTTTTCAACGAAAGGCTGAGTGAGCATAAGCTCCGAGCGATAATTTAGTGTCATTTACGACGCGTTTCTCAGCCCGCAGAGGAATGGGACGAGACGTTTTGAGGACGCCCACGGTTTTCTGTCCCGCTCGCATCTGTTTGCGAATATCACAGTGTGAATGTCAGCATTCCCGAGATCAGGCTGTTGTGTGCTGTGTGTATATTCCTCTGGGATGAAAGCGGATGCATCTCCCGTTCCTAAAGATGGGGATTTAAGGCGGACTGGCTGCCATGGAAACTCCAGAATGTAGGTCCGCCGTCTCTCTGTGGAGATGGTCGCATTTTGGGAATTAATAAAACAGAATTTATCGTGTCTGGCATGCGATTTATCCTGATATTAAGGGATCCGGAGCTCAGCTCCGCGGGGGGAGGGAGTCCCTCCAACAAACTTTTTACGAGGGTTATTTTATATCCTCCGTGCTGCGCGTCGATTAATCTGCAGGCTCTGACACCTTTAGCAGACCTTCAGGCCCTGTTTGATGGGGTTAGTTTGCAGCGTTATACGCTTTGTTTGGCCCGTGGGGCCGCTGAGTCCGTCACTGACACCGGCGAGCCGAAAAGCAGCCTTCAGTTAAAGGAATAGATCAGCCGGAATTGAAAAGTTTACACACTCTTGTGTCATTTCAAAGCCATATTAATCTCTTTCTTCCGTGGAACACGCAAGGAAATGCTGTTTTCCATAAATACGCTATAGAAACAGGTTTTCACTCAGAAATTCACTAATAATTACAAAGAAACGGCAAGTGAGACATTGAATAAACATGAACTTTTGAAGTAGCAAGGCAACATACTATTTTATTTTAAGACGCACTCTAATAATCTGTTATGTTAACTTCAAAACTTTAGAAAAATAATTTTTGCAGTGTACAAGAATTATTCATCCGACACAAACAAAATCCAATGACGTTTGATGTTAAACTTGGCCAAATGCATCTTAAGTACTGTTTGCAACCAAGACTTAGGAAAAAACACATTTACAAACACAGTCGTCACATGTCCTTCCGTAGTGCTTGCTGTTTGTCGTTTCTCTGATCACAAATGCAGACATGGTTTTATGTTTACGTGGCGCGATGCAAGCATTTTGACGTTTGCATCACATAACCAGCTCAATATAAATGGCTTTTCTGATGTAGTAAACTTGCTCGGTAGCGCACCCGGTACAGCATTGCATTTGAGATGCAACGAGTCCCATGAAACACGAGTCACGATAGAAGAGCTTAAAAGACTTGTAGAAACAAGCTTAAATGACATTGGTGCTTCAACAAATGTGTTTTTATCACATGTTTGCTTTTGTTAACTCTTATCGGTTAGGTTTAGAGTAGATAGTACATTAGTTTCATACACAATAGAGTATTGACCTTACAGTGCCACTCACCGGACATTTTATTTCCAAACAACCAACGTGAAACATTGCCAGAGAAAACTGAACGTGTTTTTAGCGCCACTTAATGGACATTTCACTTTGAAACTGCAAGACGCAACATTATATAATGTTTCAGAAATGTTGCCACAGGTGCATTTTCCCAATGGTCCTGGGTTGTATGTTTGAATGCACACAAACATTAATGGCTTGGCCTTGTGCTCACACAAAGCCATCATACGACTCCAGAAGACTTGGACCATCATATAAGCTAGCTTTATTCTGTTTTTGATTCATTTTGAAGCTCAACACCCCCCTGAATGTTCCTCAGATTATCTCCTTTTCAGACAGTCATACAGTTTGCTTTAAGGGGACGCAGAGCGCCAACATCGCACCATGTGGAGAATCGAGAGAGGATTAGCGGCATTGCCATCTGATGTTAGTGTTGATGACACAGTCGTTCGGGGAAATAAAAGCCTGTTTGTGTGTGAGGACGAATGCTCATCTTTTGCCAACTTACCCTGAAGTGGTTGTTATCCTCCTCCATAGGTTTAATATAATGTGCTTTAAAAGAAAACGGCACGCCTTTGTATTTAGATTTCTCTCTGTTTGATGGAGAGTGTGTTTGTCCTCACGCTCATAATCTGGCGAGCAGATTTTGGGTGATTAACGTGTTATTTAAACCGGCTTTTGATTTGTCTCGAGGCACAACAGCATCTCTGCCAGTCTTAAGCTTTTCACAGTGACGCTGGGAGAATGAAAAAGTATTTCCTGCAAGCTATAGTTGTATGCCCACCGCTCTTTATCGCTCTCCTTTGTCCTGTCGATGGCGAATACCTGCAGCGGTGGAAAGCAGGCCCGCGCCGCCCCGCCGCTGAATGAGTCTCCTTTGGGATTTTTAATGCTAATTTTGGTTTGATAAGTGTTTGTGTAAATGCTGGGGGATTTTGCGGCTGACTTCTTTTCAGGTTCTCTGAAAGCATGTTTATGAACGCCCGAAATGATGCTGCAGGCCTGGCGCTGATGCAGTGAGTCAATGCATTCATGCTTTGATTAGAGAGCTGCGCTTGAATCACTGTTGAAATCTCAGGCAGCGCGAGATGCTTCGATATGTCCAAACAGCACAGCAGGAGTTTCATTCTCCGTTTGAACTCTTTTTAAAACCGCAGACTCTACGCAAGTATGTGACGCGAACGCTTCCACGCGAACTCCATGTCGTGCATCGTTGCATTTTAAAATGTGCGTTCTCAAAGTTGTTCTTTCGGTTCAACTACTGTCATGAATGAGCATGAAAGAGAAAATGTATAAAAAGAAGTATAAAAGTGGCCAATGTGAACAGACAGGAGCAGCAGCTGTGACAGACTTCAAGTATTACCTCCACTGACATAGCAGCAATTCAATCCTGTTTACGTCAGATAAACCTGTTTCCAAGTAAGTTTGGCCTTAGAGACCTGTTGCTATGGGAACAACTGAGATGAGTTTGGAAGAACTAAACGATCCAGATCGAGTCAAATCATCAAATGAATAATCTGTAATCAGAACCTGAGACCTTAAGAACTGTATCAGTTTGATTAGTGATTCAATCATTCAGATTCAATGATGAATTGAAAAAAAAAATCTGTTCATGATTCGGACATTACGACCATTTTCATGAACACTAAAAAGACATGTCAGTCAAGATTTTCAGTGAATAACGATTTAAATTCTTCACACAAAATGCTTGTATGAACTCAGAAGATTGGAAAATAGTACACAAGTGCGATGGAGCACATATGTGACCCTGGACCACAAAACCAGTCATAAGGGTAAATTTTTTGAAATTGAGATTCATACATCATCTCAAAGCTGAATAAATAAGCTTTCCATTGATGTATGGTTTGTTAGGATTGAGACAATATTTGGCCGAGATACAACTATTTGAAAATCTGGAATCTGAGGGTGCAAAAAAATCAAAGTATTGAGAAAATCACCTTTAAAGTTGTCCAAATGAAGTTCTTAGCAACGCATATTACTAATTAAACATTAAGTTTTGATATATTTACGGTAGGAAATTTACAAAATATCCTTATGAAACATGATCTTTACTTAATGTCCTAAT